TATATATATTATGTGTGTGTGTATATATGATTCAGCATTGGTGGCTTAGAGGTAAAGGATTGCACTGCAAATGCAAATGCAAAGGCACATGGTTCAAATCCACCAGTTGCTCCACTGGAGAATTATGGAGAATCTCCTTCCATGCGATTTACTGCCTCTGAAAATCCACTGGAGAATCAGCTATGCTTGAGCTCTGACTGAAAAGTACACAACAAGTACAACAGTGATAGACACTGGAAAAATCTCCAAGGCCATCACACCAAGATACTCTTTAAACTGGAACTGAAGCCACTCCCAGATCACTTCTCAAAAAAAACAGATTGACCTAAAAATAAACAATAACATTCATGGGGATAGCGTTCCTTACAACAATCAACTGTTGTTGTTATGCACCATTAAGTTGTCTATGACTCAGAGACTCTGTGTACATTGGCTCTGAAACCAATCCTGAGCCAATTTCATCATCTCCTACAGACTTAATCCCATTCCTTCAATCACTGAGTCAATCCATCTCATCCTGGTTCTTTCTGGGTATCCCTCCACCCTTCCAAGTGTGACATCCTTTTCCAAGGACTGGTCCCTCCTAGCCATGCGCCCAAAGTATGTGAGATGGGGCCTCAAAATCCTTGCTTCCAGGAAGCAGCCTGTTTCCACCATATCCAGGACAATCAAATATAGGAGACTAATTGGTCAACATGTTCCCAAAACAAGATGTCAAGGAGGGGCAGAGAAACTATAGAGTTGAAAGCAGAGAAGGCAGGGTGGGAATGAATGTTACAACATTGCTGGGACAGCAGCCAAAGTCATAGAACAATTTATATATAAATTGATGAACAGGAAACTAATTTGCTTTTTCAACTTTGATCCAAAATACAAGAAAGTGTTAACAGAATGTGTATACACAATCTAGTGATGCTATAACAAATACATAAATGTTGTTGTTGTTGTTGTTATTGTTATGTGCCATCGAGTCACTTGTGACTCATAGCGACCCTATGTACAACAGCCCTAAACTCTGCTGTCTTGTGCCAATTGCACTGTCTCCGACACTCCCATTCCGATTACCCCAGTCACCGAATCAATCCACTTCATAGAGGGCCTTCCCCTCCTGAGCTGTCCCTCCACCCTCCCCAGCATGATGTCCTTCTCCAAGGACTGGTCTCTTCTTACAATATGTCCAAAGTATGTTAGATGGAGCCTCAGAATCCTTGCCTCCAAAGAGCCACCCGGTTTAACCCTTTCCAGGATGAATCTGTTTGTTTTCCTAGCAGTCCACTGTACTCTCAATACCCTTCTCCAGCACCACAACTCAAAGG